TTTATTCTTATGCTTTTTTTTTTTTTTTTTTTTTTTTTTTTTCTTTGCCTTTTGCAATGTCATAATACTTGGCTTTTACTAAAATCGTTTACAGCTTTTTGTTTGAATTTTTTCTAAATTAAGTATTTGTGCATCTTTTATTATTGAGCAGTGGAACAAATTAATGGGTAATTCTATGTCAAATGACCCAGAAATTTTTTAAAAATGTCACTCTATATTTAAGATTTTGCTGATTTTATACAGTTTAAAGTACTTAATAAAATAAAAATTCCTTGAAATGCCTGACCAACGTCTGTTAAAAGTAAAATTACCATTTTACTTTTAACAGATGTTGGTCAGGCCCCTCTTGTCCTCTCAAAGTTGTAACATTTATTTAGAGGTTTCAAACTATATAACTTGAAAAATATTTGATCTTTTTACTTAAAAATTTGTACCGGGCTATTTACAGGGGTGGCAAATCCAATGATATGATCAGAAATGTAAAAAAAAATATCTATCAATTTAAATAAATTTGGGCAATTTTTTATATACCTGATTTTGATGCTCAAGAAACCCATGTGGTCCTGATAATACCAAAAAAAAAAAAATACACATCATTCTATATTCATTGATCTTTCAAAAAATATAAAGATTTTGATTTTCATGTAAATGACTTTCCATATACAGATAACGGGACACAGTGGGGACTTTGCTTTTCAATAAATTAATGATAACTTTGAGAATATTTTCTGCAAAAATTTTTTTTGGTTTATATTTGTTCAATTTGGTTTTTGATCATTCTGTATTCAATGATCTTTTTATAAAATGTTTGAAGAAAGTACATATGATTATAAGATTTTTAATTGGCAAGTGTATGGTTTAAAAACAGTCATCCATCTAAAATAATGATTTTAACAAAATTTTACATTGTTTAATTTAAAACTTTTTGAATTGAAAAAAGAGTGGATATTTTTTAATGCTAAAATGTTAATAGCAATTTGTTTAATTAACTGATATTTAATTATAAAATGTTAACACCGAGTTGTTTTATTGAATAAGAACTATTAATAGTAACAAAAAAAAATATCCTGTCATTACATTAGTATAGAAGAAATTTATTACCAAAGAAATTCATCATTAACATTTTTAACATTGACAATTTAAATACAATTAAGCAACCATATTAAAGAGACAAAAAAATTATCTTTTGCATTCAAAAAAATATTTTAAAAAATCAATCACTGTTACCATGGTGTTTAAGTTGCTTTATTTATATTTATTACTTTTTTTCTCTGTTGTTTTCTCATTTTTAATTTAATCTGAAATGCAACTTAGTAGTTTTACAGTAAGAATGATACAGTGAGAGTGGATTCATGCGATTTTGGAAAACTGTCATATGATACTTGTCATAAACTAGTTGTAGAAAGATCAATTGCTTTAATTTCTTAAAAATTTAAAGAAATTTTATTGTTATAGAGAAGATGCCAGAGAAGAATTTGGAGATCTGGAATAAAAGATGACAAAATTTTACCAATCTGCCTTCGCCATGAAAAGATTTTTGATGCAAACTTTGAAAAGAAACAAAATGTTGTAATTTAATGAATAAGTATAAATCAAAAAGATAAGTAATTAAAGGTAAATAAAGAATCACTGTAAAATCAAAAAGATAAAATTAAAATCTACTAGTTTATAAAAGTTTATAAATAAGATGGTCTGGTTATGCATTATATATTGAAATAAGAACAAATTGTTTTTATGTTCGTAGGTAATCACTAAAAATAAAGTGTACTTTTCATTTCAGGTTGTCATGTAATAGCATTAGACTTAGCAAAGCAATTGAGAGTCAATTTTCCAAATGTTGTGCATGGATATCAACTGTCGGAGCTGCTTTGATGCTGTAATTGGTAATTTTAATGAACAAGATACTTGTGAATTTGAGGAATCTTTTTCAACTTCTATAAAGAATCACTCACAAGAGGCATTAAATGCTTGTCTTAAAATAATAGGTGTATCCCCCATTAAACTTCATGGTGTTTTAAAGCATCAACGATTACCTGTTGCTAAAATTAAAGTTAAAAAAACAATGGCAGTGTATGAAGAGCATATTTCAAAAGTATATAATGTTAGCAAACCAAACATAAAATTCCTCATATCAAAAAATAGATAAATGTGATGATTTGGACAATTTTACAGCAGAAATAAAAGAAAAATTAGTTGTTTCTGATCAAAAGACCCAAATTCAGATGTTACCATTTACACCAGAGTCTTAGACAAGAAATTATGCTGCAAGATATTTAAACGCCCTTGAATACCAAATTAAAAAAGTATGCAAACTAAACGAAATAAATAGGATATTTGCAGTTCCAGACACTAAGAAAGAAAAATATTTTCTTAAACAACATTAAATAGAGTCAACAATATATACACAATGACAAAGAATTTACTAGACAAATGCCTGGTAAAAAACGATTACATAAATATTGGTAGAAAACAACACATGCAAAAGCGTTTGATTTTATGT